ACGATTCAAGGATGGACAAGTGGAAATGAAGATGTTGATTATTGCATAAAAGATTTTCAACTTAAAACTTTAGCATATGAAGAGATGATCGAATGGATTCCATTTGATAAGTTAATTATTTTTAAAACAATTGGTAAAGGAGGATTTAGTTCTGTGTTTTCCGCAATCTGGGCTGATGGTATACGAAAAATTGATGGCGGTAGTATACAGCAAATATATAGTGATAATGCTGATGATTATAAATATCTAAGAGCACGTGAACCATCTAGCATTGTTGCGCTCAAAACTTTATCTAGTTCTAAGGAAAACCCTCTTAATTTTTTGAAGGAAGTAAGTCAAGTTATTAATTATTATATAATTTATTAAACACATACTAAACTAATTTAATTGTATAAATTTAAAAGTTTAAAAACCATATGAAATGTATGATGAAAGGCATTAAGCTTAAGATATATGGATTGACTCAAAACACAAAAACAAATGAGTACTTTATGGTATTTCAATATGCCAATAATGGAAGTCTTCACGCGTACTTAAATACAAATTTTAAAGATCTTACTTGGCAGATTAAATTAAAACTACTTAAAGATATTTTATTAGATTTACGTGACATTCATAAAGCAGGATATATTCATGGCGACCTCCACAGCGGTAACGTTTTGCTAGACCATCGCATGGGTAAAAGTATGCAATCTTATATCTCAGATTTAGGATTGTCTAAATTGAGAAATGAAAATGTTTTAGATGGTATCTATGGCGTTATACCTTATGTTGCTCCAGAAGTTTTGAAGAGACAAAATTCTACACAAGCATCCGACATTTACAGTTTTGGAGTCATCATGTCAGAGATATCAACTGGACGGAGACCTTTTGATGGTGAATCGTTTGATTTAAGTCTTATGATAAAGATATGCAATGGATTGCGGCCTGAATTTGCATCCGGAACACCTAAATGCTATGTTGAATTAGCGAAACAATGCATGAATTCAGATCCACAAAAACGACCTAATATTTCGGATATATGGGGTAAACTTGTTAGGTGGAATTTAAGTATGAAAGGCTCAGATGAAGAGGCAGATGAAATTAAGAAGCAGTTCTTAGATGCTGATAAAATGGCCAAAAATTTGCCAAGTATTGCACCAAAACATCCAGCTTCCGCGTATACTAGCAAAATTATTAACACGCTAAAAATTTCAAATGCAATTAAAGAAGGTATTTATTTTAAAAATTATTATAATGTAGTATTGTGTATTATTTAAAATTAAAATTATTATTCAATGTTATCTAGCTTTAGATTCTAATCAAATTAATCTTTATATTCCTGAAAATTTTTGAAAATTTTGGTACAAATAAATTTATTTGATTTCGCAAATAAATAATTATATAAATAAAATTGAGCCTTTTATAAAATATAATACTGTTCTATTATTCTTGTAATGACAATATAAAATTGTGTTTGCACATGTGAAATAAGGAATGATGTCTACGTAAGGAACTAATAATTTACTGATTTGCAGAATTCATAAAGGATTCCGATAAACGATAAAAACAATATCGAACTCGAACGAATGGTCATGTGATTGGAAGAATGCCGGCACGCCAAAGGTGCCGGAAATAAATTCAATTACAGCTGTTCTCATAAATTCTGGGACAACTGATAAATTTCTGATGACCGAATCGATAATTTACCGAGCTGGAATCAATAAGTAACCGACTTCGACCGAACTCAGAAACTTATCGATTCGGTTATTTGCAATTTTTTCAGTCGTCCCAGAATTTATGAGAACAACTGTAAAGGAATTTAAGTCCGCAGAATACATTGTGAGTTCGAAACAGGCCGGCTGTTAAATAGGAAACGGCAGAATCAGGAGACTACAGTGTGTGGTGGGAAGGGTTGGGTCGAGAAAAAGAGACGGTTGTAATCATAGACAGAAGTTCGTCTGATTGGCTAATAAATTCAATTTAATTTTACATTATTTATACAGTTTAAAGTACTTTTTAGAAAAAATAAAACTACGAAGAATAAACAAAAAGGAAACATATAAAAAGTTTTATTAGGGTTGTAGGACTTCACCATTAAAAACAATCTAAATCAATTCTGGTTTTAGAGAAGTTAGCATAATAGCGACTTCATAAAGATAGGTTATTACCATGCTAACTTCTCTAAAACCAGATGATTTAGATTATTTTTAATGGTGGAGTCCTACAACCCTAATAAAACTTTTTATATGATTCTTTTTAGTTTATTCTTCGTAGTTTTATTTTTCTAAAAAGTACTTTAAACTGTAAAATTAAATTGAATTTATTAGCCAATCAGGCGAACTTCTGTCTATGATATAGTATAGGCCGATTTTCAAATCTATACTATACGTGTGAGGGAACGTGAGGTCAATTAGTATTTTTTATGATTACTAATCATTGGCGGACTTTAAATACTAATTGACCTCACGTTGGAACCAACCTCATGTTGTCCCTCACAATTAATTTACTGTTATCCGGAGTACTCGATAGGCCATGTAAATAGAATGATGCATGGCACTAAATGTTTTAGCAAAGCTTTAATTAAGTTCTATTCTAGTTAGATAACCTAAATGTCAAAATTTTATATGAACCCTAATGTGTTAGAACTATAGTGTAGTCAAGCGATAATCTTTTAGAAGGTGCTAAAATTGATAACGTGGGAAGATTAATGTTGCTACGTGATTTGTATATTTGCCTTAACCTAGCAATACAATTCGTTGTCATGGTAGTTCTTTGTGAATATAGAATATTCTACACTATTGATAAGATCATATTCTGCTTGAAGTATTTTAGTTTGGGAGCATAAATATTTTTTAAGTTTATTTAAGCCTTCTCATTTTATTTTTTACATTAATAAATATATAAACTATTTTACACGGATATCTAATTCATAATATAGATGTGTTTGATTAGGATTTTTTATATTTAAGCAAGTCTTTAGATAATGATCAAATAAACATGCGTTAAGTTTTTTGTTTGTACTTACGCCTGATTTTATCGTTTGCATACATCATTAAGAATAATAAGTCTTTGTATGCATCATTGATATGGTAAAGAATAATAGGTTTGTGTATTAACCAGCGTCGATGCTACGGTGAAGAGCCGTTTGATAATGTATTGCTAAGCACTGTACTGTATATCATTTTAGACGTTAGAAATGAATTAAATGAATTGCATTTATAACACGATTATAGTGGGTTTATTATACAGTAATACATCAAATACTAGGAACTGGAAACCAGTAAAAGTCCGGAGCATAAAAGTGCATATAGCTGTATAGTACTTCGTAAAAGGAAGCAGTACAAATCGAAATATTCGGCCAATCAGCATTCATAAAAGCGGACGGAAGGACAACTCCACGTGATCTCGATGATCACAGTCTATCGTAAAAACAGAGTGTCCTCCGCTTCGCTCCGGACAATTAACAAACAATTTAACCAATTATTCTACACATATATATAGAACGTCTTATTATTCTTAACGCAACAATCTCTTGGTATACTATTAATAATACTAATTCAATTATGTATACGTAGTATCTTATTAATTTCGAGTCTAAAGTAGCTTTAATAATTACAATTCAAAAGTTCAAATTATGTTACTAAATAATTTAGTCTCGTAGATATACGATGTTATTAGTTTGCGAAAGTTCGGACTTAAATTTTAACAGTTTAAGTAATGAGCAATTCAATAACATTAAGATACCATCTTGTTATTTTGTATTTAAACTTAAATGACTGAAGGTTTGTTAAATATATAATGATAAAAATTGTAAGTGCCTAGAGTTTGAAGTACTTTTGACGAAAGATCAAATAACACGATTACGTATACGTATCTATAGTTGGTTAGATTTCGGTTATAATATGGGATCAGTAAGTCTAGAATGTTTGAATGTACGTTTTTACAGTAAATCATAACTGAAATAATTCCATTCACCTGCCTACACAAAGTATGGTATTAACAAAATCAAATACACGTTAATAATCAACATTAAGGATATAGTTCCAAGAAGGCAACTTTATTAAACCGATCTTTGTTAATGATAAGGCAAAGTGAGGTGTTAATATTAATTGTTAGCTATAATTAAAATTAAATAACCCACGAAAACAATAAAAATCACTTATAATTTGAATATCTGATATGTCACTTACTGTATATATTTACGATCGTACGTACGTACAGTGCATCAATGCATCGAGAATAAATTGACATGTGGACTGTTTGTTATCGTATCAATTGCGAAGTTGTCGAATTCATTCATGATTATACTGTTATAATATTATGTGTGAGAAAAGAATGTGTGATTGCATCATTTTCATGCGTCACATCCATACTTAGATATGAGATACCTGAATAAGGAACTTAAATAGTTTCTTTTATATTCTTCAAATAAACTCTAAAAACTTGAATTTACTTTGACAGATATCCAATTGAATGAAACCACGGCATCTGACAAATCATTCTGAACCTATCAGATCAAACTCTTGATTTTCTTTTTTTTCAAAATGAAAAGTTTTGAAACATACATATTCTTGATTCTTTTGTCAATAAGTATTTTATTCATGATCTTAGATATAATAAAAAGAATCACTTTGTTGAACGATTTGTGCGAATATTTCTTCATAACAAAAACGATAATCGCGGGTATACCTTACTACATTTTGATCGCCACATTTCTCATATCACTTTGGAAAAGTTTCCAATGGTTTCGTCCAAAGAAGTTTGCCAAGTTGATTATCTTCTTTTTATCTTTTTTATCGTTACTCAAAAAAACTTATTTATTTATTTATTTACTTATTTACTTTTTCTTTTTTTCTTTTTTATTCGTTTTTTCTTTTTTTGAAATTTATCATTTATTATTGTTAAATTCGATAAGGATTCATCACCAATATGGTGACAAACTGTCAGCATGTCATCACAGAGTATTTGATGCGCCACTGACATCAAAATATCGACCTTTATCATCAGTTCCTAACCGAATGCACCTATCTTTTATAAACGATAAATCTCCTTCAAGAATTATAAAAACAAAACAAGGATGCGAAATAAAATTGAAACGTATGACTGAAAGTGAAAAATATATTCGTAAATCTGGTATTACAAATGCATAGTTTAATAAAACAAAATATTATACAATCATACGTATAAAAAGTAAAAATTCATATAATTATTATTAATATTAATATTAAAGACAGTTAATATTATTACTATTATTATTTTATATCAATGTAGCTCTTTCATCGTATGAAGCAACAAGACCTACGATAAGCTCTTTGCTTCGTCCGAACAGAATGGTTGAAATTGGAAAATGTAATTTGGTATTAGTTCCATCTGAAAGATATCTTATTAATGGAAAAGTAGATGGTGGCTTAAATGAACAAGTAAGAAACATGCTCTGTTTTCTGTAATTTATGATATTTTTATTGACGTAAAAATATATATATATATGTATGTACTGTATATGTGTATGTAAATATACGCACATAGCAAAAATTAAAAGTCGTATTCGCTGCAGGTAATCGTTTAGAAAATAATTATTGCAACAAATAAGCAAAAAAATTTGTAACGTTGATTACTCCCTTTGTATAATATTACCAGATTTAATTATAGAAAAAAGTATTTTGCATGTTCTTTTTTTTTCAAAATCTCATTGTATAAATAAACATTCCTCTGATTCTCATTCTCAGTGGTTAGAGCTGTCACCTAATGTTAGGTGCTATCTCGACGCTGTTGTCGTTAATCTATTCTATCATATTAGGAGGCTTAAATTTTGTCGTAATTAGGTCTTAATGCCTGACCTATTATATATTTGAATTATTTAGTTCGGCTGATTTAAAGAGAATATGAAGTGCAAACATGAAAAAAGTCATTTAAAATCAAGAAATTTGCAACGTTGATTAACCTACTTTATTTTATATATTTATTAATAAAAATTTTAATTCCAAATAACAAAATTGGCACCGCTTCTGCAATAATCTTTTTCCAATATTCCTTATTAGATTTCAATTCTTTAATCTGTTTTTGTAAACTGAGTATTTCGTCCTCCTCTGATCTTAACATTGCCATGGCCAAATTTTGATCATCTCGGAGGTCATCAAATATTTGAGAATTTTGAATTTGTTGATCGATTAAACATTCATCCATCGCTTTAATTTTCATTTCAAGGTTTATTCTAATTTCTTCATGTTCTTTCTTAAGATTTTCCATTTTAGCGATTAATTCTTGTTCTCTTGCTGTCAATTCGAGTAACTTTGTTTGAGATTCTTGATTTGCTTTCATTTCTTCAGCATGTTTTTGTTCGAGTATTCCATATAATTGAAGAATGTCTGCAGCATCTTGATATTCTTTGGATTTGAATTCCAACATCACTCTTTCGAATTCTGGTCCTTCCAACATATTATCCAACATTTCTCGTTCGAATATTGAAATAGCACCTTCGAAATCCTCTTGAGTCTATAATTAATGCATTTTTTTTTTAAAAAAAAAAATTTTTATTATATATACTTTATTATTATTACTATTATTATTACTAGGTTTTATAATTAACAAATTAGTTACAGTAATCGTATTACTTACCTGAAAAATGGATTCAAAGGTAAGTCCATGCTTCACATAAGTTTTCCAAAGTTCCATTCCCAAATCACGATTATGTTGATATAAAACTGTTGAATTCCTTTCATGAAACATAAGTCTATTCTTTTCAATCATTTTATGGAATTCTTGTTGAAATTCACATATCTGACTTGCTGATCCTAGAACTCTATTAAAAAATTCAGTTTTTACTTCACTAAAAGCTCTGTCATGCATTTCACTAAAATCTTTCCAAAGCACGGGTAATTGATGTTGTAGTATTTCTGATTCCATAAGTTTTTGATACATTTTATTACAATGTTGCATGGACTTTTGTGCAACATATTCTACTACAGATTCATATTCGTCTGGTACTGATATTTGAATACGATTTTCTGGATCATTCAATGATCTAACACATTCTTGAAGAAATTTTGCAAAAGAGATACCAGACATTGGAGATGCTCCTATATACTTTGGTTGGAGATTGTTAAAAATCCCGTTCACAGCTGCTATCACATCTACTATGAAATCTTGTTCAAGTTCGGATGTAGATACTTTATCCATTTGTTGTAGTTTTTCTTTGGGAACTCCAGGAAACTATAACAAGAAACATACTGTATATAATTACCGTTAAAAAATAAAAGTAATGTTTAGAAATAATTGATCATACTGATAGACTGTAAACTTCAAAATCCGCAAAACGTTCTTTTATTGCATCGGATGCTGTAGAAGAGAATGAATTATATTTTAATTTATTGAACCAACAAATACAAGAAACAAAGGCAAACAAAAGCAAGCAATATAAATACAAGCAAATACAAGTGAATACAATAGGATTTTTTTTTATATATTACCTTCAACATTCACTTCATCTAATTTTTCCAAAAAATAAGTTCGAAAGTCGTTAGGAGCCTTTAACATGAAATCTCGAAGCAATACCACTAATCTCGGAAGGAATCTACAGTTGCTTGGCGGGTGGATATACCTTGACAACTCGTTCATTAAAAATAGTTTTCCAATATCGGCTTTACCAACAATTCCATTAATGTTATAGATAAAGGAAGACGATATTACTAGGCATAGAATAAATAGTTTTGTTGCCCATTGTTGACTTTGTTGAGGCTCATCGATGCCTTCACAGTCAAGAACAATGACTCGCTTTCCATTATGAAGGAACGGAGTATCCCACATGTGAATTCCTCGTGTACATCCTTCCACCTGTTGTTTGAAAGTATGAACGATAAGCTTTAAAATATGAAATATAAATATATAAGTATTCAAATATACACCTCTGCTCCAAGAGCAAAACCATCATGGCGTCCATGTAGAACATTCGCAAACCAGGATTTACCTCGTCGAAACGATCCAACTATTGATTATAATTTTTATTAATCCTTAACTAAGTATCAATATGTAACTCTCGAAATTCGTAGATTAACATACCGACGGCGATAATAGCCACAGGCTCATTAATCCCTTCAATTATATCCAATGCTTGTTTTTTAAGAATGATCTGATCATTTTCTACGTTATATTCTAAGAGTTGTATTGATTTTCCTTTACGGAATTGGATTTCTTCACCAAAAACATTTACGTCTTCGATGAATTCAAATTCGTTTTCATCCATATGTAATAAAAGGTATAATGATCGAATAATAGAAATAATACTGTATATTATATAAAATAATTTTATTCACTCAAGAGACTTAAAAAAAAAAAAGATCAAGTTTAAATAAATAAATTTATAACGATAAATCATCCGGGAAGATAACTCCGAATGTTTTTGTTCCCGATTTTCATATTCCATTGTGTACTAATAAATCTTTTAACTATATATTGTGTTACTTGCTTTTTTAAAACTCTAACTACGCCGGTTTTTTTCGGGAATGATAACAGTATCTTTAAAGTATATGCACTAATACATATTGAGACTCTTAGCTCACTACGTGTTACACTTGGATCTAAATTATCTAAATTATCTAAATTGTTTATTTTCATATTATTCCGATTCTGCAAATTTGTGTGGTTAAATAAAAAAGATTGATACGTATTGATTAAATAACAAGCGAAATTAGGCAAGCTGCCAAATATTATCGTGAATGTTACCGTGCATTCTACTTAATCAGTCTACATTCGTTATAAAGATAATGAACGCGAGTAGTCTTTAAATAATATATGTGTGAAATTGATTTAAAAAATACTAATGATTGAGTTGATTAAAATCATAAACAATTATATATTCATATTTGTGACTGAAACAGAACCAAACATTACGTAAAGACTGTCCTTTTCATTATATGCAACTATATACAATAGATAAATCTAAGACCAGGTCAAATTAATGACATAATTCTTGCTACATTTTTTTAAATCAAATTATCTTGCAGCATAGATTTCATCTATGCTACAATAAATCCTCATTCAAATTGGTCTGATAAATCGATAAAGATATCGAATTAATGAAGAGAACTCATTTTATCATTTTCAATCGTGTATACATATTAGAGATATAGTGCGAATTGTATCAGTTGTCAAATGACCTAGTTCATAATATGACATTGATCATTAAATTTGAAAGTCATGTGAAATAATTTGGTCTGATTAGTTGGCCATAGCAAAAAAAAATTAATAACCAAAATAAATTACATAAAACTAGATGTTATACTCATCACTAAATGTCGAGGTTAGATATTAGAGATTACTCATCCTTTTTTCTTTTTTTTCTAAGATGCATATTGATTTAGTTGAGTTAGAGATTGTCTACATCTGATATATTGGAACATTTCCATTGCGGCATTTCCATATCCATTGACAATAATACTTAAAACGTTCTGTATCTCATGGTTTCAATTTACAATGCAATATGAATCATTAAGTGATCACCTTTACAGGTTATATTAATTTTTTCTCAGCGATGAAAAGAAATATGCATAGTGATTGTAGTCGATAAAATCGACTTAGCCGACTAAGTTGACCAATTTTTTAAAAATTTGACTTAGCCGATTCTTAGTTATGTATATAGGAATGGTCGGGTTGCAGAAAAATTCGGGATATAAATTAAAACCAATTGGCATAATATTTTGCCGGTATTAATCGTCAATGCCTTTGTTAAGTTTTATATGAAACATATAGTATTTTATTGTTATCTATGTTATTGCAGTATTATATACTATCATAAATTAAGAGCTGTGCATGAACAGGCTCAAAATTTAAGTTTTAGAACAAACTCATGCACTGTTATTTATTTATTATTTATAGATTAAAAATATATCGATATATTTTTGGACGCGTCATCGAAAGAATTTTTTAAAGTTCATTTATGTTAAGGTTAGCGTTAAACTAGGGTTTAAATGTTAGCAAGTTCACATAGTAAAACTGCTCAAGAAAAACTTATTGTTAGCAAATTTTTTGAATAACAAGCAATTTTTTCAAAGTGAGCATTTGGTTTGATTTTTTCTGGTCGTGTTACGTTGCACTAACTCATGTGTGTTTTTGCTCCAATTTGTATATTAACCCATGTATTACCCCTAACTTTGGGAGATTATTCGCACTGACACGTAAAAAAAAAAAAAGGCTAATCTTTTTCTATACCTTCGTAGCTCTTTGGATTCTGGTAAAGTTTACAATCTCGCGTATCCCTACTGTCGTTAGACATATCTAGGGCTGTTAACGGAGCAACCGGATTATATTCAATTTAATGTTGGAGTGGGTTGAGATTTTAAGAATTATATAATAACCCGGAGCGAAGTTATTTCTTATAACCCGGATTGCTCCATATGGAGTGATCTAGAGCAAAACCCGGGCTGCTCCGTATGGAGTGACCTGGAGCAAAACCCGGGTTGCTCTATATGAATGACCAGGAACAAAACCTGGGTTGCTCTATATGGAGTGACCTGGGTTGCTCCATGTATATACCAGAAGGTAGTCATGCTTGCATCACGGATACCAAGAACGTAGTCATGCTTACATCACGGATACCAGGAACGTATCATGCTTGCATCACACGGAGTGTATGGTTTCCTGCCTCATAGGCAGACATTCTTATGATTGGCTGTTTAAATCAATTTAATTTTACATTATTTATACAGTTTAAAGTACTTTTTTAAAAAAAGAAAACTA